GACAAAAATAAATAAATAAATAAATAAATAAATAAATAAATAAATAAATAAATAAATAAATAAAAAGTGATTGAATGAATGCAAGGTTTTAATTTTTGAAAAAAATCAGGAATTCATTACAGTAACAAAGAAGGAAAGGTATATGGCTGTCTCAGTGGGCAGCGGAAAGGCGTATTTGAGAAATACCTTTGTGGCACTGGGGATTGAACATGCCAGACAAGCTGTCTGCCCCTGAACCATGTCCCCAGCTCTGTTTTATTTTCCTAAGAGAGGGTCTTGTTAAATGGCCCAGGGAAGGTTTGAACTTTTGATCCCTCTGCCTCAACCTCCTGAGTAGCTGGGATTCCACAAGGCCTGGCTACTTTTCTTGATTAAAAATAAATAATAATAATAATAAAATAAAAATGCTTAGGAGCTAGGAGTACAGTTCAGTGGTGGAATACTTGCCTGGCATAGGCAATGCCATGGGTTCAATCTTCAACACCACAAATTAAAAAGAAATTGATGAAATGTCTCAGCAGGTAAATGCATTTGCTGTGTAAGCCTAACAACCTGAATTTGGTCCCCAGAACTCATGGTGGAAGGAGAGAAACTACCTCCAAAAGCTGCTCTATTATCTCCATACTTTTTCCTATGTCAGTTATATTTTTTTAAATGTGGCATTCAGGTTTCTCTCTCTCTCTGTCTCTCTCTCCCTCTCCCTCCTTCTCTCTCTGTTTCATATATGAATAATAAACATTGAAAAGTTAAAAGAAAATCTCAGACTGGGCATGGTGGCACATGTCTTTAATCCTAGCACTCAGGAGGCAGAAGTAGGCAGATCTCTGTGTGTTCAAAGCTAGCCTGGTCTACATAGTGAATTCTAGGCCAGCTGGGACTACATAGTGAGACCCTGTTTCAAAAGAAAAAGAAAAAAAATAAAAGAAAATCCCTTAGAAAAACTGGACTAGAAGGGAAAATCTTTAATCTGATAAAGGGTCTTTATTACATATTTTACATATTGACCACAATCATACTTAATGCTGAGCTATTGGATGCTTTCCCACAAGACTGAGTGGTCAGAGTGTTTTGTATTGTCATCTGCACTCAGCATACTCACTTCAAAGACAATATTTCAGAGTTCTCCTGAAAAGTGTATACTACAGTCATTACAGTTATGAGGAACACTGAGAGCTATATCTCATACTTAATATCAATGTAGAGTAGGCCACTAAAAGAAAGTGTTCTGGAAAGTTTCAGAATGACTCCTTTTACTGTATGCTGTACCAGGTGTTCCTTTCAGCTTTGCTCGTAATACCAATATCAAGGTTAGCACCCCTGGTTATAGAGAGTGGGTCCAGTGAACTATAGCAGTGATATATCGTAGCTAACCCACTATAGGCTTACTATGTGCTGTGATCTGCCTTGATTGTTCTAGGTGGGCTTTAACTCATTTATGCCCCCAGCAGTCTCTGTGGCACTATCAGAATTACTGTCGTTTCTAGGTAAAGAAGCTAAAGCACAAAGAATCATGTAGACCAAAGGTATATGGTAGTTGGTGGTAGTTTGATACAGCCTGGCAGAGAGTACAGCACAGCTTCAAGCCGATGGAGAATTAACGCCAAGATGTATTAAGCCAAGTGGTATCCAAATAATATGCATGAAAGCTGAACTCTACTGTGGGGACAGTGTTAGGGCTTTAATCTAGCCCTCAATAGTCTAGGGTATCAGCACTCAGGTTTTTTAGGTGTACAATGCAGTTTTGGTAACTGTAAACATGATGTTGGCTCACAGCTCTCAGAACTCTCCCATGAGTATGACAGATTCTCTGCCACCAAACGATACCTAGCTGTTTCCACCTCTTGGCTGTTAGAAATTGTTGCAGTAACGTGAGTGTGCAAATATATCTCTTAAGGTCCAATTTCAGTTATTTTGGAAAAAAAAAAAACTCAGAAATAAGGTCATGCATTAGTTCTACTTTGCATTTTTCTTTGGAAACTTCACTCTGTTTCCCTAGCTTCATTTTACATTCCCACCAATAGTATACAAGGGTTCTAATTTTTTCAGATCTTCACCAATACTTGTTATTTTCTTTCTGCCTTTAAAAAATTTTTATTATTTTTATTTTATGTGTATGAGTGTATTGGCTGCATGTATGTGAGTGTACCCTGTTGTGCATTGCCACGGAGGTCAGAAGAGGGCTTCGGATTCCCTTGGAACTGGAGTTACAGACAGTTGTTAGCTGCCATGTGGGTGCTGGGATTTGAACCTGGGTTTTCTGCAAG